ACATGGGGATTTCCCCGTTTACTGTAATTCACTTTGTGTAATAAAAAAATGATGGTAACGGTGTTCTTTTTTTGTGGTAAACCAGCTTCACGCAAGCTACAATGCACTCAGCGGATCATTGGGGCTTCTTACTCCTTATCATCATCACCCTCGTGTAGAGAAATACAGTAATGACGATGAGTAAAAAAGACCCATGATCCTTCGGGATCATTGTGGTCTGTGCGAATCTGGTCTGCCACAAAACGAGGACAATGTTATTGCAAAGGGATGACATATCAGTCAATAATCGTCTGCGCCCTCGGGCTTCGCCGCTGATCTTTTAAGGTCGTTTATTCAAGACGCATCTGTTCACGGTTTATCACTTAAGTGGCTTGGCTCCTATCCGTTCCCCGAAGAAGCACCGATTAATACGCATCTTCTCTGGTCACAGGCTTGTAGTAGCCTACGAGCTCATTGACTGCAAATGAAGTGACTACTGATCTATTCTTATCTGTGATTCCCTCCTTTGCACTCGATTATCATAGATAGTACTGTTTCATCTACGCAAAATCTTTACGCGCTTATGTGTCTTGGATTCATTTTCAACATTTCAGCCTTACTTTAGATGTTCAATGTTTGGACAGGGATACAAAAAGTAGGCACTGCTGACGAGTCTCCAACAGGACGAAACAGCTGACCAGTGCTCTTTGTTGGTTATCACAAACATTTCCAGCGCATTTTAAAGAACATTTCAGCCTTACGTTTGTTTTCTTTTCTGATCCGTATCATTTAAAGAACAATACTTTATTCTGAGGTTAATTATTGCGTAACCTGCACCTAAAACGAAATTGCTTTTGCAAAATCAAACGCCTAATGTATTGCTTCTTATTTATCGAAAGTTTTCGATCTCTTTAATTTTTCATCCAGGTCCAAGAATCCGGTCAGTTTGTGTCGGATGAAGAGATCACTCGGTTCTCCAAGTTGTTCGAAGATCAAATCACTTTGGATTCTCTGGAAGTAAATCAACTAAAAATGCTTTGTCGGTTGCTGTCACTACCCACGATTGGTCCAAGCAATCTACTCCGGTTTCAGTTGCAAATGCGTGTGCGTCAACTGAAGGCAGAGGATCGCGTGAGTGTTCTTGTTTACCTTTTTCACTTATTATTCATTAATAATTCATTATTCTTTTTTGTTATGGAAGTGATTTGAGCTTGCAGTTAAGCACCTACTGCCAGGCAATACGATTGGTTGTTCTGCTATTCTACCAACTGATTAAAATAAAGCAAATAGGTGTCAATGAATCACCATCGGCCTTGTCAACAGAATCCAACAGAGCATTTGGGAATCTCGAAAAATTATTACTTTGTAGGTAATTAGGCTTGAATTTAGTTTTGCTGTTCAGTGCTCTGCATTTCAGAGCCAGTGTTGAGCTCTCTCAGTCAAATGCAGCTTTCACTGCCCGAAAATTTGCATTCAAAATAAAGCAATGGGTTAGATTCGAGGCAATCATGGCCTCTGTGGGATCTCGCGCGCCAAATTTTTTAGGACCTATACCGAAACCGCCTATTCAACGAATCATGACTGACAGTCTATCGATTCATCGTTTCGCGACTCACATTTTTATCTGACTGACCAATTAATCAATTGCCGTGGTGTTCGTTCATTCTCGTCTAAAGCGAAATCGGTGAACCACGAAAGACCAAAATACCCCAGCTCTGGTGAATAAATACACAAGCGTGTCTACTTCTCTCAGGGTTTCCTTCACGCAGTCAACTATCAGTGGCATTCTCGTTGAGAAGATATTTGTCCAAAGATCACTGATCGTAAAGGCCTGTCCATTGTACTTATTGCGGTGTCGAGGCGCAATGTCGCATTCCAATCAACCCAAGCCTATTCCCTATGGTACGAAGGTATAGTTCATGCTTCAATCAACCAACCTAGCCCATTTGGCAGTTTACTTGCACAACCAATCAAGTGACCCGTATCTGGAGTGGCGGACAATCGTACTCGAGAGGGAGCGACGGCATGGCATCACGTGATCATAAAGGTTATTTCATTGATCAGTCTGTATGCGTGCGTTCATGCGCATGTACTTGTGTACTACCGCAATGCTCGATTACAACAGACTACTATGAATTTCGGCCCCCACTCGTGCCGTTTGGTAAATTACCCCGGTCCAGTATAGATTGATTACGTCAACCACGTTCACCAGACTGTCTCCAGAATATCANCAATCCGCGCATAGATGCACATGCGCATGCGATTGTATACCAGAGCTTTGTTCGAAGTACGCAGAAATCATCTTCAGTGATCTGTACTTTTTAACTACTTGCTGTGTCTGCAGTAGTGAAACTGAGAATTCGACTTGTGCTAATTGAGAATCTGACTGTGAGATGGGCCAGAACTCCTGATGCACCGGTATATGTCCAGTGCGATTGCTCCAATTCAGTTCCTTCTGACCATCTGGGGGATCTGAATGGATCATAATCCGCGATTTACGCAACTTGGAATCCTTCAACCTGACTGTTCGATCACCGACTCGTAATGTTTGTGATGCTCTTGTGGTCACCTACTGACCAACCATGTGATGATTACACTCCTGTACACAGTCGAAGTTCACTGGAATTCTAAACACTGGTGGGTGTGAACTTAGTGTGGGTTCTCGCTCGGGTTAGCTGGGTAAGCATCACATCCATTGTTGCAGTGGAACCATCCGGCCGATCGATCGTGTGATTCTCGGAGAGGTTATATATCCAATGCTGTTTAAACCTTGGTAGAGAATCACCACAGCAGAATCAGTCATTGAGCGATGCACCATCTGGGCAATTCGGAACGGAAAATATTTATTCGATGATTACATTATACCATCACTTAACTCATCTTTGGCAATTCTTTGGCAATTTTGTTAAAAGTCAACTGGTTTGCCGACTGTGCAAGCAGTGTCTTACTTAATTAAGCTTATTTTACTTTCTGCTATTTTGATTTTCCTTACCTTACAAACAACAAACTGTTCACGATCTGTTTACGTAATCACTATTCATTCCTCCAAATTGTGATGTTTAAAGTTGGAACTTTGTCCTTGTTAAACTTTTATTTGTCCGTTTTAGTTGTTGGCCAAAGAGGGAGTAGACTCAATCCCCACATGGGAGCTGCAGACCCTGTGTCAGGATCGCGGTATGCGGTCTGTTGGTTTGACGGAAGAGCGGTTGCGGAACCAACTCGCTCAGTGGTTGAACTTACATCTGGTGAAGAACGTCCCTGTTACATTGCTTCTGTTTTCACGAGCACTTCATGTGTCCAAGGCCTCAGCAGCCGAATTGCCCTTGAAAGAGGCAAGTGTCTTTCGTAGTTTCTCACGCTAAACTTAATGATTCCGTTGTCGAAAAATCAAAACTTATCTTTTCGTGTTCCCTTTACAACTTGATCTGAACGAAAATAATGTCATGGACCTCTGGAGTCATTTTTTGTTTACGATTGAGTAATCGACTGTCCCGTTTCCGTAGTTACTCAGGGAAGCTCAAGGTTAAAACATCCTCTACTGTAAAAATGAATGCTTGGGATGGTCGGGGGTGGGTGTCTCGGGTTACTGCTGGTCACTCCTCTCTTGCACCTCGCGTGTTAAATAGCTTCTGCTGAGGAAGCTCTACCCACTGCCTTCTCGTGGCACTGTTTTCCAACCAACATGAGAGGACGAAAAGCCAATATCCGGAGCCATAACCGGGTCGATAAACCTCTGGCAATTCACCTAGGGGAATTGATATATTACAATAGGAAGGGTTCGGAATGTTTCCAACCGAATCATACCCCTTAACAATCATAGTGAGATGAGCGAGATGTGATGTCCTCAATAAGATTGTAAAGATGGGCTATGCTATATCGTGTATGGGCAACATGAAAAACAACTTGATCATCTTCCCAGTAGTCCAGTGGGTAGAATGCTTGCGTTCCGCTTTCGAGGTCCCGGTATCGATCCTCAGTGGAGTCGATGGATTCACATTGGCAATGAGACTGAACCAGATCGAAACAGCTGTCCAGTGCTTCGCAAATTTTCAGTGCTTCATTTTCCAGTATACGACAAAATTCAGCATCTAATCACATCAAATCTTCCTCTGCCTCTAAAATTATACCGCTGTTGAGCCTTTTAGTTTGGTAAAGGATGAAGTGTCAGTGTTTGAGGGCTGATGTTTAACTTAGCTGGGATCACGTGAAACTTCCCATTTTGCTACTGTTTCATTCTTACACATAATCGTATTGGCCAATATTTTTTCGTCTAGGCCATTGCGCAACTTCCAACATCAGCTTCAGAGGAAGCCACGGCCCGTGTGCTCGAAAATACCCCACCGACGGAACTGGATCCACTTACCAAAATCGAGCTTTTGCGCAAAGAGCAGGCTGGTATCAAGGCAGCTCGCATTCAGCGCAAACAAGAATTGGCTGAGCAAAAGAAGGTCGCTTCCGCTTCAGATGCAAAACTAATGAAAGAACGACAATCGGACGTGGTCTCTGAAGAGCTGGTCGACAAAGCACCCGTAATAAAGAGCTCGCTAAAAGAAGGTGAGTACCAATGGTAAACCAATTTCTCGTCTTTCACGGTCACCCAATGAACCACTCTGATAGTTCCGTACATTGCTCATGATGTGCTAGGCCATTATTTTCCGGCTTATAGATGAGCACACCTTATCAAAGCCTTTATATGATATTCGCGCTTGAACTCTCAGTGCCAATCACCTATCGTTCTGTTTCATTCCCTAGAACTGGAAGTGGCAAAGGAAGCACCGACCGGCACAATCTTGCCGACTGCAGAGAAGCCTCCGGTAGAGGTAAAATAACATTCAATTTACACCAGTTTCCGTATGAACGTTTATCTTTTTCTTAATTGTTGGTAATATTTACTCTCAGTTTGTACCAGGGTGTTTACTCTAAGAATTCAGCTTAGCCTTTCACAACTCTGTCCTCGTTGAACCACTGTACGCAGGAATCTGTTCGTGAATAGAAATATGCCTTTATTTTGCAAGGGCCCCGTACAATACATTACATCTTATGTACCATGGCAAAACAGGCACCACCACTTACGAGCCATCATGGCCTACGTTGAAAAATATTACCGATTTTTCTTTGCATGAACTCAATAATAAATCTATTCCGTTTCACAATAATCAGTCATTCGAAACTGTCGTTCGAATCAATAGCTTCCCGCACTTCGTTGCATTTCAAGGTCAACTTTTGACCTTAATCTCTTAGTTGTCACAATATTTGTTTACTACCAGCTGTAGGCTTGTGGTGAACAATCCGGATTAGCTAAAATTTAAAGCTAATGTCACTATTTTTATGAGTCAGCACTAAACAAGTAAGCTATGGCTTAAAGGTCCATCTAGTTGATGGTTGTTTGATACGTGAATCTGTCGAATGACCAAGCCATTCTGTTAATTGCATGTGCATACAAAAACAAAAACAGATTTGTTATTTTCTGTTTGTTTTTGTAGCGAAACGTTTTTTCTTCTCATTAATCCTCTCACTATTTCTTTGTAACAAACCTCGTTGGTTGTGGAGATTAAGTGCCAAACAGTGGAATCCGATGAGATTTACGGTGCACTCAGCAGCAAACTTTGTTTGTGGGACCGAGCCCGAAGTTCGCCGAAGGCATTGGATCTCGGAGGTCAATAATCCTGATGGATCAGAAGCGAAAGATGGCAGTCTGAAAGGATCAGCATCGGGACCGGTGTCGCCTGCAACGTCAACTCAGAAAACGACTTGAGAAAGATCGCGAAAATTGATGGGCCGAAATAGCTAGTGAAATGGAGGTTCAATTCAGTTCAGTTTTTACAAATATTAACCATGCACCTTCCGGCGACAGTTTTGGTTGCTGTCTTTCGGTGCCCCATTTGGATAGAAGAGCAGAATGAGGATAGGGCTGTTTCAAGAATTAAATCTATCACAAAGTTGAACAGAAACGGAGAGAGGGTAACCCTGTCGAACATCACTATCTGTAGTGAACTCGGGTGAAAAGTTGCCGTAAGCTCGGACTCGACTTCGACCATTGTAACATTGAAATAAACTTCTCGGGTTTACCCTCCAGCGGGAGGAAAAAAATCCGAGCCAGAGTTTAGAGCGGTCGACTGAGTCGAGAGCCGCTTTCAGATCGAGGAAGACAGAAATGGTGGGTCTACGAAAAGAGTGTCTGTGTTCTAAAATTTGGCGGAGAGTGAAGATGTCGTCGATACAACCTTGACCAGGTCTGAAACCAGCCTTGTCCTTACGCGTGCACCATTCACGCGCGGCAGACAATCGACGGAGTATGATACCAGCGAGAAGTTTAGAGATCATGTTGATTAAACTAATTCCTCTGTGGTTTTCACAAGAGGATCTATCACCTTTCTTGCAAATCGGTATGATCACCGATTCACACCAATCAGTTGAAACCTCTTCCTTCTCCCACATTGAGCCCAAGAGTTTTGTCAGCTCCAAAACCAAGGCTGAACCTCCATCCTTAAAAGGCGATGGGGACAGCCCGTCGGGGTCGGAAGCCTTATGCCGTTTGAGATAGTTTATTTCTCGGAAAGCCTATATTTCATATGGAGGAATGATGTCAACTGGCAGTATTTGCACAGTAGAAGCGGGGGTAGGGAACTTTTGAGTCGACGAGTGTCAACTGAACTGTACCTTAAAATGTTCTACTTAACGTTCAAGATGGCGTTGCTGAATATGGATCAGTGTGCTGTCGGACTGCCTAATTACCTTACTTGCGCCTACTCTCTTCGATCCTGTACTTCTAGTTAGACGAAAAAGGTTACGACGATCACTAATAGCTAGTGAAGTGGAGGTAGCTTCTGCATCAGGGAATTTTCGAAGACTATTTCAGCCTATATGTGGTTCCGGAAGTCTTCGCATACCGGTCAGTGAGTCAGTTCGCAATAAAAGTAGACGCTGTATCCACAATAAAGAAGAGCGACTTGATCGCTGGGTTCAATTGACCAGGTGGTAATGTGGTCATTCCAGCAATTGCGGCGGAAACCCTATGGGGGATAACATATGAGCCCTCATCAGAATTGGAAGTACGAAGCTGAATTTAATCATTAAAGAACTAGAAGGCTGCGGGTCCTGTTGGGCCTCTACTTATTCTCCGTTAGTCGGGCAATGATTCTGTTGTCGACTCGATTACTTCGCAGCATATGATCAGGGGAGCGTATCCCTTTGTCCTAGGGTGAAACGTTGATCTTCCCGATCTGCAAGAAGGGATCACTTACTGGCTGCTAACCACCGCGGGATTAGTTTGGTTTCGATAATCACAAAAGTGCTGACTTCTGTGATACTTCGCCCCCCTGACCCGCTTAAGAGAGATGATTATCCGCGAACAACAGGCTGAATTCCTACCAGGTCACGGTTGCATCGACCAAACCTCCACTCTGCGTCAAGTCCTCGAACTGCGTCACACACATCTTCGGTCAACAATCACAGTGTTCCTTGACCTAAAAGCAGCCTTCGATTCAGTTGATCGTGAAGTTACAATGGGATCACTGCTTCTCAAAGGAACGCCGCGGAAATACGTAAACCTACTGCGTCCGCTGTAAGTGCATACTTCTGGTAGCGTAAGGGTTTACGGTGGGATAAGTAAATCGTTCGAAACCAGGAACGGCGTTCGTCAAGGGTGCCCTATTTCGCCATTGCTGTTCAACTTTGTCGTGGACGAAATGCTAGAGAACGCACTTAGTGGTCTCCAAAACGTAGGTATTGAATGGGCAGCTGTGCGATTTAGAGTACGCTGATGACATCTTTTGCCTGTTCGAATGTATGGATGATGCGCAAAGCGCATGTAACTCCCTTCGGTATGCGCTTTGCGCCTTCAGAGTGCAAAGTGATGCCACAAGACGCTGTCGTCTACCCCAGCTCTGATGCTTAATGGTCAGGAGTTAACTACAGTGAAATGTTTCACCTACTTAAGTAGCTGTGTTTCAAATGACGGTAGCATTTCCAATGCTCGAGCAGCTTAGGCAGGACTGAAACACTTGGTGCAGGTGCGATGAAACTGAAACTGAAAGGTCGCGTATACTGCGCCGGTGTGCGGTCAGTTCTGCTCTATGGTTGCGAGACTCTAAATTTGCGCGTGGGAGATATTCGTCGTTATGAAGTATTCGACTGCAGATGTTTACGTCGTTTGACGCGGGTTGAATGAAGCGAGCGTGTAAGGAACTCTGAGGCAAGTCGTAGCGTATTTGGTAATGATTCGATGGAGAATTCGTTGTCCCATCAAATTCAGATTTGTCGTCTTCACTGGTTAGGATACGTACTGTGCACGTCCAGTCATCGTCTGCCGCACCGCACCTTATTCGCAGTTGCGGCTCCAGGTTTGAAGAAA